GGGATCGGCGAACGCTGTTGGATGCGGTCTGCACGTTAATGGCATGTGCTACGGTTCGCCTGTAAACGCATCCAGGCTGCATTGCGGCCGCACCTGCAACTCCACGCTGCGATTCCACGATGGCCAACATTGTAGCTGACCGCATCGTGTCTGCGAACACCTTCTGCCGGATGCAGCTGGTCCCATCAAGGTGAGAAAAGAACAATCGCCAGCGCGTTTAAAGTCTACCTTTTTAAAGCGCCAGTCATTCTGTGTAGGCAATGCAACTCTCTCTTTCTCTCACTTCTTCGTCCTCTTCGCAGGTGGTTTTTTGAGTGTTTCTTTGTTGGGTTTGACGAAGTATCGAGATTGGTCGGAAATTGCTCTTAACACTTTCGCGAGGGGAAATAGAGGCCTACGTCATTTCAAAGTCTTTAGCTGAATTACGAGCAACGTATGTAGTCCTTCGTTATTTCAAACCTCGCGAAAGTGTTAAAACATCGACGATCTAATTACGACGTGTGTGATTATTTTTAAAGCAAAGGGTACATGATATTTAATATCTCGTCCCTTTGTAACTTTCCTCCTAAAAGTCTCTCGTGAGTTAAAGTGTTTATTTGAGGCGCCGATAAACTATCGAAGGGTTAATAGGAGTGATGGAGATTTTCAACCCTCTCGCTGTTCACAATTATAGTATTAATTCTCGAAAAATGGAGGTTCCAGGCATGGAAGGTTGTATGTGCGTCGCAGCGTCGACGGTTTATTGGCGACGATTAAACGACGCGGGGGCACTTCAGTCGTTGAAGTCCCAGTCGAATGTGTGGAAAGTGGACTGTATTTGTTTATCGAGTGATACGAAATGTATTTTTGTGTGAATGCACCAAGGGTACAGTTGTGTATATGGTTGATGTGAATCCGTGTATGGTAAGCTACGAAGTGTCTGCGTCGTCGACTACGAAGTCCTACTTAAAATGTAAGTAACCCCCTTTTCCTGCCCTTCTCAGAGCGGGGGTGAGGGCACTGTCTAAGTATGGGAGGGGGTTTCTCGAAGGTTCGATGGGTCGCGGAAAATTCCTCCAGGTCGACTCTTAACTACAAGGACCGTTATACACATATTTTGGCCGACCTTTCGGAAATACCGAGTTTATGACCTGGTCGGTTATTAAGACGAACGAAACGAAATTCCAAAGCTATTGTGTAAAAACTCGAAATGATTAAAAATACCTTTACTATTGCGAAGACACAAATTGCCGGTTATAGAAAAAATAAGACTCTGAAACTATTAACGAAAAATAAACACGAAAATAAACTGTCTGTCACGTCCATGTCATAAACTAACCTTCGAGAATCTTTAATTACGGTGTTCCGTATCGGACGGAACAAAGGTTCTTATGTCAGGAAAGAAATATGAATAAAGGAGGATATACTAATTTTCCAAATTGGTTTTCGTTTTTTCCTTCAGTACCAATCTTGAAGACATAAGTGACAATTTTCTAGATGAGAGAAATAACATATTTTCTAATTGATGGAATCCACGACCTCGTTACTCATTATGTACGAACCGTGTTCAAAAGTGAAGTTACCGCTTATCACTTCTCTAAAATTGTCGAGGGGTTATATTAAATAAATGACTCGTGTGGAGTAAGGTAGGTAAATAATGATATTTTAGACGCACAATTAGAACTGCCTACAAAACGTGGTGACAGTGTGCACATTTGTACCTGGGGTGTTCGCAGGCATCCCCAAACCATACTTAGCGGACGTGTCGTAAACGTACCGTGAAGAAGAACTCGCTTCTTCCAATATTTTAGGATGTCGAGTTTTCCACGCAGTACACATAAAACATTTGAAACTACACACATAAACGTAAGATTGAATTACACTCCATTTCACCTAATCTTACCCACCAACGTCTTAAAAAGCAGATTGAAAGATAATTACAAAGTACGCACGCCGATCCTCGGTAATGATCACCACAGATCTCACATCCTCCATAATAAACACTCACCGTCGAACAAGCTGCTTTACCCCGAGAAACAAGCCCGAAAAGAAAAAAAAAAAAGAAGAAATGAAATATTTCCTGCTCGGAGAGGGGACGAAAAGAGAAGCAAAAAGGGGGAGAATATTCCCGGCAACAGGGAATAATAATTAACGGTGGCCTCCTGATCGAATACACCGCGGTCCGCCATTAGTTCGCGCTTCGAAGCGCCATGACCGGACGAGGTTCCGCGCGTCAGTCACACTCTGATTCCTCTCCGGAGGTGTACTCGCCGTGAAACCGAAAAGGTGGCCTGGAAAAAACGGCGACGGAGGGGCGGAAAGAAGCGGCGTGCAAAGAGCGAGGAGGAGAGGGGGGAAGAATATCGGCAGGAAGTACGCCGCGTTATTGCAAAGCGGCCGCGTGCATAATCGCGGGACGCCGAAAAACCGCGCTGGGCGGTTCGTTCACCCCTCCCGAAAACGTACTTTCACCTCTTTGTTCAAGCTGTGCTGCTGATCGAATCCACGGCCTCCTGATAACGATCTACGCGCGCGATTTTCGACGCACCTGCGGCCCCAACGCTTTCACCCGTGGCGTTTCGCCACCGTGCCCGCGAAATTAACCTTTTTCTCCCTCTCTCTTTCTCTCCAAGATCCATACTACACACACGAACGCGCACAGTGAACTGTGTTACGTCACGCCGCCGAGAAATTGATTTATAATTCGCGGAGGCGTGAAGAGGCTACGTCAGCGACATTAACTGTTTTTCAGGTGAAACCATTTTGCTATGGGACAACTGCCATGCGCCACTGAAGCTTTTTTGCATACGTACGTAGCCGCTGTAACGAGTGTCTTTACTCTTTCCTTTTTCCTGTTTTTTTTTTTTTTTTTGCAGGAGGATAACCTGTCTGGGAAATTGCAACGCGATGGAAATACGAGTCGCTGGTGTAAGGTTCGAGAACCGACGGCGAAGGACTTGTTTAACAAATGAAGCTATCTAGGTTGTGGATTTGTTCCTACTGTGCACGGGCCTGTAATATTCGAATTGACTGTCGTTTGCGCCGGCAATCATTGCCGTGATTCTAGGTGGCGGTGTAACACGGTTGTTCGTTAAGCGATAATGTCGTTAACTGTACCTAACGACTGGGTACGCGATGGAGTAACCAGCGATGCTCGTTTAAGGGGGCTATTTGGGGTTTAGACGGTCGATTTTTCACAGGATTTCGCGATCTTCTCTCCGGGCGATGAAGAAACCTGGAATACCGATGCTTCGTGCATCTTTCCTCTGTTTGAAATCGTTCAGAGTTACACGCCGCGACGTACAGGCTTTCACTTCAGCGTGAGATTTCCTGATTTTCAATGATTTTCAGCGAAAATCAAAATACGCAACAACGAGCAAGCGATCGTACTGTTACACCCTCGAATATTTTCCTTCTCAGTCTTAGTTTTACCCGTATTTACAACAGGTCACCCACTTCAACTACTCACAACCCAAAGTCCATCTTCCCTAAACCCTTAAATAGCCCCATTTCCTCCATATTTGCATTCATTCTCCGTTTTGCCACGCGCACGTCACGTAACGTTAGACCTCTGTCAAATAAAGCTCTGTTTCTACGCAACGACGATCCTTAAGTGTTTTAATTCAGCGTCACCCCAATATCTGCTCCGAGTTTCGAGGAACTGGAGCAAACCGGGCATCACAGTATCTTAATTTATTACAAATTCGTCGATTCATTTTCGTACCTCAATTATCGTCCTGAATGGAGCACTCGATAAAGCGGCTTTAATTAAGTAGAACAAACGGCAGCAGGCTGCTGTATACTTGTCCGCGTGAAAGTGACGTAAGAGTGACGACAAAGGTGGTATTTTCGAAGGTAGTTACATAAAAACAATGACGTGCACCGGCAATTCGAGCGTAGAGCGAGGAGAGTCGAGGATCTGTTGCGAAATACGCGCGCGATTCGCCGGTGAATGGCGAAACGGTGTGTGCAATTGGCGCGAGTGAAACTCGGCTCGTAAAAACGGTGCCAGACCGCGCCGCGTGGACGAGCAAAGCGAGACGAATTGCACACGATGGAATACAACCGACGATTACATCGTCCTCCGTCTTCTCTTGTTTTACAATTAAAAGGTACGCGACGGTTTCTTTGCGAGACGTCGAAACAACGAATCTTTCCGGCGTAGAAATTCACCCTACGCGATGAAACTGTCTTGGAGGCTTTGGAAAACTTCTTGTATCGCGTCTAAGGGCGGGAGAAGTTGAAGCTGGGTTCTTACGTTTCGGTCTTAGCCCTCTTGCTCGTCAGGAAGAACGCGAGGAGGGCGTATCCAGGTCGGTTTCTCTGGGGAACGAGTCGAGAGGACGATTGCTTGCGACTTCTCGCGTTTCGGGGTTTCTTCGAGGAGGGGGAAAAAATTGGGGAGCTTTGCGAGGCGGAGGAGGACGCGTGTCTCGTTTGATTTCGGAGTTTGTTGGATGAATTGTACAGTACCGCGTGAAAATTTGTACAGATCTACGGGGAGAGGAAGCTTGGACGTTTGGAGAGTGGAGACGAAGCTGTTGTGTACTTTTTAGCAGCAAAAATAGTTAACGTGGATATCAACTCGTGTATGTATAGGAAATTATGAAATATTTCCTGTTTGAGGAAAATATAGTTTTAAAAATAAATATTGAAGTAGTGACCTAATTAAAGCGATGCAGAGTTAAGCAGTATGCCGACATGGTTCGTAATCCTCTGTCTGCAAGGGATTGAGAATGTTCTTCGAATAAAATTGGTAAAAAATTCCAAGTTTACCTGGTTAAAGAATTTAACCCTTTCTTATACAAAATCACAGGTGAAAAAAAATATTTCCAACAATGAAGCAAAATGTATGCTTCGAGAAGCTACAGGAGGTTTAAAAAACGGTGTGACCGCGTCTACTGTGCGTGCACCCATATTTTTGAAGAATTTAACCCTTTCCCATCCCAAAATCACGGGTGAAAAAAGATATTTTCAGAAATGAAGCAAAATGTATGCTTCGACAAGCTACAGGAGGTTTAAAAAACGGTGTGACCACGTCTACTGCGCGTGCACCCATATTTTTGAAGAATTTAACCCTTTCCCATAAAAAATCACAGGTGAAAAAAGATATTTTCAGAAATGAAGCAAAATGTATGCTTCGACAAGCGTTAGAGAAGCTACAGGACGTTTAAAAAATGGCACGACCACGTCTACTGCGCGTGCACCCATATTTTCGAAGAATTTAACCCTTCTTTACTGAAATAAACAAAAACACCTGACGATAGTTGCACAAAAGATATGTTCAAAAATGAGAAAACTGTATCGTCGAGTGCACGTTGCTTCGCATAACGTTCAGAGAGGCTACAGGGCGTTAAAAAAATGTCGCGACCACACCGACCGACCGTGAATCGAATAGTCAGGTTCGCCTTAACGAATTGAGTTATTCAGATCGTTGACAGACGGCCAGTCCGCGTGGAATCGTGCATTCATCACGCGACACCGCGCGATCCATCACCATCTTTTCCCGCAATTATTCACGCGTTTAACGCGTCACGTGTCCGTCGCGAGTCTCGATTAATCGATGACCATCCATTGATAAGCGAGCACCGATCGTTTCAAGGCTGTCAATGGGACGCACGCCTGCTAGTCGCGTCGATAGCAAGACGAATGCTCCTCGATGACGAAGCGTGCTCTCGCGCGTGTTTCTTCCAGCGGATTCGTCGCTTTCCTTTTTTTTTACCAGAGATATGTCGCTGATGGATATTTATCACCGTGACTAGCTGATAGGCGGATCGTAAGTTTCACAGGAGTTATAAGTATCTGTGACACCTTTCTTGCGCATCTGCCAGGTGATGATTCTTAATACAGACGTGAACTGTCGCCGTGAATCAGGCTATTTTAGAATCACGCACGCTCACTCGATGTACACTGCTGTTCACAAATATTAGAACACCCCTTGTTTGATTTAAATTACATTTAACCCTCGTACGCTCCTCGGATGAAAATTCACCCGTACTTTGATTTCTTCGTGTACTTGAAATTCACAAATTTAACTAACTCTCGACGAAACATAGTGTGAAAGATTACTGACAACGTTCAGCAAAATACAGAGCGACGATGGGCGAAATCTCACTATTTCTGAGGAACGTACGAGGGTCATTTTTAAGGATCTCGATAACTTTGTAACAAAAGCGTAGCTTCGCTTCGTATTCGATAAATGTGCCATACTTTTGAACGAAAGTGGATATTAAACGCAATGTATTTATCTCTCGAGATAACCTACATTTTGTTACAAACACCTATACACCCACGACAAAGTTGTTTTTAAATACTCCACGAAATAATCACTCTCAACAACTACGTAACCATAATCATTCTCGGAACTTTCAAAGTACTCGCTTCCGGCTACGAGTAAATCGGAATATTCAGCTAAGCAAAACACTCTACTGGAAAAGACTCGGTTGGAATTACGAGAAAGCATCGTTCACAGTTCACAATAACCGGCAAAAAGAAACCACAACTCGTCCCACTATTTCTCTTTCGC